ATTTCCCATGGAACACCCAACGCAAACTGCAAAACAATCAAGGAACACCGAGCCCCTCGCCAACGAGAAGGGTACCTTCTTCAGGGTCCCGACTGTATGTCCATAAGTACACATATACAGCTACACATGCAACTATACATACACAAAACCATACGCATACGCATACGCATACGCATACACCGACACCTACACATACAAATACACAAGCACATCATCCATCCATACATACATGCATGCATGCATACACGCATACACACACCTACACACATGTATGTGTATACATATGTGTATGTATAAATCTATAGTACATCCACCATGTACAAAGTCACCTGCCCAACGTGCCAGAGGCGTGCTTAGATCCCCAGTGACAGATTAACAATAATTCTATGACGGCGCACGCGGGGCCGCTCCTGGGGGTCCCCGGACGAGAAGTACCCCGGCAGGTCCCCGGGAGGGTGCGGATCAGAAGTGTATTCCTCCTGGGCGCAGCTTTCAAGCGCCCCAGAGCGCTCCAAGTCGACCCCAAGATTGCGCCCAAGACGGTCCAAGAGGGCTCCGAGTCGTCGAACGATCCGTCCGAGAAACCCAAGGTGGCTTCCAGACGGCCCACGAGGCCTCCAAGCGCCCCAAGAGGCCTCCAAGAGACCTCCCAAAAGAGCCCCAAGATGCAAAATTCATTGATGTGTCATTGGTTTTTGATGGATCGTGGCGTTCTCGCGTTTTCAGCTTCCCGACGCTCCAAGACGACCCAAGAGGCCTCCAGGACCGCCCCAAACCAGCCGAAGAGGTTTCCAAGAGAGCCCCACAGAGACCCAAGATGGCCCCAAGACTGCCCAGAAGGCCTCCAAGACGGCCCAAGAGGCCCCCAAGACGGCTCCAAGAGAGGGCCCAGACGGAGGACCCGACCAACCATTCCGAGCTCTGTGCCCGAAGAGGCCCCGGGGGGGGCCCAAGAGGCCCCAAAGAGGCGCCCAAGAGGCCTCCAACAGGTCTCCGCGAGGCCCCAGTAGGTCCCCCAAATACCGCCAAGCGGCCCCTGAGAGGCCTCCCAAAAGACCCCACGAAGCCTCCCAAAGAGGCGTTTTGTCCACGATCAGGCTGGGGGAGCGCAGCATGGGCCCGCGGAATAAGCGAAGCAATTCAGAAAAAGCACGCTGGGGGCCAGGGGGAGTCAGAAGACTCGGAAGCAGTGGCCCGCGGCAGTATGGACACCACCCTTCTCGGTGAAGATCGCTAGCACATGTGAACCTGGCAATTCAAAAAAGTGCTTCGGCACCTTCTCTCTGCCATGGTGCCAGCCACATGTCGCCTAGCCACGGCAGCGTGCCACATGTTGCTTCACGGTGGACGGGTGGGCAACGCAGAGGAAAGGTTCGGGGAGACGTAAGACCCGGGTACGGGGGACTCGGAAATCCCCGACGAGGTCGTCAAAAAAATGACGAGGCCGAGCCTGCATTTTGACGAGGCCTCCCGCTGCAGACATCCCACGCAACTCCTCCTCGTCAAAATCCGAGGCGCGGTCGTCAAAAAACGATGGCGAACCCGAGTCCCGGCAAACCCGGGTCTTACGCTCAGGTACAGACCCTCGTCTTGCCCTCGTCAGAGCAAGCTTCATCAATGAGCCCCCGCCCACTCTGGCGAGGCCTGAGAACGACGGCATCCGCCCCTCCGCACGGCTTTTGGCGGCCAGAGGCGGACCCGCTCGACTGCCTGAACCGGCTCCCAAGCCTGTCCTGGAGCGCGTTCCGGCTGGGACCTCGGGCTATGTTGGTCCCAGTGTACTTGAGGACGACATCCCACAAATAATGTCACCCCCCCAAAACAAAAATATCGAAACAGTGTCTACCCAGCACGCTGGCGAAGTGTCGAACGAGCATCGCCCCCCAAGGCCCCACACGTGAAGACCTTCCAGTTTCGGTACTTTCTTGGCGATTGAAATCCCAAACATGAGACGTCCCGCTTTGTTCAATACGGGTCCCTGGAAGTCCCGACCTTTACCCGGGGTTGGCTTTTCATCCTGAATCGTTTTCTGACTGTCCCGGGGCCCGGCGAAGGGCCACACTTCGGCAACTTGCTCACTTAGCCAATTGCAAGTGCACTTGCATGTCGGAGAAGGCGCATTGCAAGTCACATATGTTGTATTGCAAGTCGTTCAAGTATTTGCAAGTACATACCCGACGGAATCTACTTATGTGTGATTTGTAAGTATGTAGGCAACATTCAAATTGGTTGTATCTACTTGCCAACCAATTAACATATACAGTACATGTAACTCTTGTATCTACATGCGCATACTTATCGGAACCTACCATGCACGGAAACCATTCCCTCGCCCTCACCGACGCATCCGTTACGCGCATACACGTGCCCCAATAGATGCACACGTGTGCGCGCACACACACACACGTGATCCCGCGCACACGACTGTATGCACACGAGCACACGTACGCACGCGCACAAACACATGTACGCGCGCGCATTGCATGCACACATGCGTGCGCATGTATATATATATAGAGAGAGAGAGAGATGTGTGCATATCATGATGTATGTACACACGTATGTTCACATAGGTATGAACACCCATCTATGCGAGTATCTAACGGTAGGTGTACATGAATGCACGCGGATCACTGCGCGCATACCCATGTAGACACGCATGCGTGCGCGGGGGCTGGGCCTCCCGTCGCCATCGTCGTCGACGGCGGCGCTGTCGACGTCGAGGGGGAAAAGGGGTGCGGGGGAAGGGGAGCGCGCACGCGCGCGGGACAGGGAGGAGAGGCAGCGCGTTGGATTCCCGCACGTGCACGCGTACAGCGCCGCCGCCAGGCGCCCGCCGATCGGCGGGGCGCGCGCCGCGCGCGACCGAAACAACACGAAACGAACAGACGGCGCCAGCCCATGAATGCGTCCCGCGCAGGGCGGTGCGGGGGCGGGGGGGGGGGCGGGGGGGAGGCGGGACGCAAGGAAGGGCGTCGCCGTCGGAGGGGGGAGAGAGGAGGGGAAGGCAGGGGGGGGGGGGAGAGGGAGAGGGCAAGCTAGACCCCGCGGCTCTCCGGGTCGGACGACGGGGTGGCTCTGCACGCTGCCGGGGGGGCCGAAGTCAGCTCGAGCAGCTGGCTTCCCCGAGGCCTCCCGCAGCCCGGAGGCGCCCGCGCCTCGGGGAGACGCGCCCGGCGGCGGGGCCGAGACCAGCTGCCCCCCCCCCCCCGTGCTCGCCATCGCTCGGACGTCCCTTCCTCGTGTATTTTTCGATTTCGTGCGTGTTTTTTGTTTTGCCAAATGATCAAGGAGGGTCCTCGATGGCCGTCGCCGAGGAAAAAATGCAAGCGATGCCAAGCGGTCCCCATGCCACGCCCTCCGGGACCAGCCCGTCCATCCGAGCGCTTCGAGCGCGAGCGAGGCCCGAAGCCAGACCCCCGGCGTCGTGATGCTTGACGTGACGAGGGCCCCCAGGAAGGTCTGAACCCCTTTCCCCCGCGCCACAATCCTGGCGCCGATGCTTCTGCTCACGATGTCTGGGGAGGCCTCGGGGCCCCTCGTCCCCGAGGGCCCCTCGCGCTGAGAACTCCGCGGGCGCCCCGAGGCCCGAACGGGACGACGGCCCGCGCCGCGGCCGAGCAGCCCTCGGAGGGAGGAGGGGAACGCTTTCTCGTTCGGCGCTGCGAGATTGTCGGTGACTCCGAAGGGTGTGGTTTGCAAAGGGTGTGGTTTGCAACTGGCGCCCTGGGGGGCACCCTGGGGGGCGGGCGGGGACCCCGACTGAGCTCTCAGCCGTGCCCCGAGGAGGCCCGACGAGGACAGCGTCGTGCCCCCCAGGTCCCCACGGCGCCGATCGCAAACCACACCCCGGCGTAACCTCACCCTTCGCAGTCGCCGAGATTGGGCGGGAAGGGGGAGGAGGGGGGGGGTCCGGCTCCGGACCTCTGCTAAATGCGACTGTTTGCAACAGTGCGTCCCATGGGGGAGGGGAGATCCCACCTGCTCGAAGCAAGACTCTCGCGTCTCGGGGTGGCCTTCTGGCGGCGCGCACAAGGGGGGGGGGCGGGGGCCTTCTGAGAAGGCAGGGTGTACTCTTAGAGGGCAAGGGGCCTTCTCAGAAGCGCCCCGAGGCTTCCAGGAAGGCTCTCTGGAAGTCTCCGGGCGCTTCCAGGAAGGCCCCCCGTGAAGCTCTAAGAAAGATTTAAAACGAATGTGCGCGGTAAACAAAACGATCAGCCCTGAACCGGTGAAGTTCTTGCAATTTTACCACGAAGGTACGCGGCGCTAAAGCGAGAGCCGCATGTTGAAGACGACCCGACCCCAATCCGTGAAACCCTAAAAACTGTTTGAAACGAATGCGCGCGGCGCCGATGCGACAACCGCAATTTGAAACCCACCCGCCCTCAACCCGTGAAATTCTGCCTTTATATACAATTATGTTTTAACTCAAATAGATGCGCGCGGCGCTGAAGCAACAACCACATTTCGAAAACGACCCGCCCTCAATTCGTGAAACTTGTGCAAACTGTTCAAGCGAATGTGTGCGGCGCTATGGCGAGAGAGAAACATGTTGAAAGCGACCTGACCTCCATCTTTGAAACCGTTGTCAATGTTCAAGCTCCAGGGTCATGAATCGTGAAGAAGTCTCAGGCGAAACGCCTCGCCCGCCCTTTCGACCCGCCTCGGGGTGCGACAGGGAGGACTGATATATGAGGAAAAGGAATGGGGTAGGAAGAGAAGCAGGAGGAGAGGGAGGAGGAGGAGGAGGAGGAGGAGGAGGAGGGAGGAGGAGGGAGGAGGAGAGAGAGGAGGAGGAGGAGGAGGAGGAGGAGGAGGAGGAGGAGGGGAGAGAGGAGGGAGGGAGGAGGAGAGGAGGAGGAGGAGGAGGAGGAGGAGGGGGAGCACGAGAACGAGGAGGAGGAGGAGGAGGACAGGGAGCAGGAGGGGGGGGAAGAGGGGGAAAGGGAGGAAGAGGGCGACGAGGAGCAGGAGGAGGCAGGGCCGAGGGACGCGGCCGCCTCCACCAGGACCCCGATCCTGACGGACCCTTCCAAGTCGGACTCCTGCGGCGGCATAGAGGGGGGCGCTGCTCCCGCCGCCTCCCCCTCTGGTGGGCGGCGTCGTCGATCGTCGACGTCGTCGCCGCGATCCTCCTCCCCGGAGACGGGGGCGACAGCAGCGAACTCGTCGCTGCCGTCCTCCTGCGTCGTCCCTCTCTTCCTCCACCTCCTCCACCTCCTCCTCCTCCTCATCGCCCTCGCTTTCCTCCTCCACCCCCTCTGCTTCTTCTTCTTCTTCATCCACCTCCTCGGCCTCCTCCTTCTGCTCCTCCTTCCTCCTCCTCCTTTGCCTCCTCCTCCTCCCTCCTCCTCCTCCTCCTCCTCCTCTTCCTCGTCCTCCTCCGCCTCCCCCTCCTCCTGATCTTCCTCCTCCTCCTCTTTCTCGTGTTCCTCCTCCTCCTCCTCCTCCTCCTCCTCCTCCTCCCCCTCCCCCTCATCCCCCTCCACAATTACTCAATATGGATACTACTCTCCCTCTTCCCCTGATGACGGTTTGAAAGTGAACACACAGGTTTCCCCGGAGTTGGGTTTTCGCCTGCATCTTTTTCAAAAATCTCTCGCTGAGGCGCCGGCCTCATTTTCGGGCCCCGCTCGTTCCGAATCATGCTCCCGCTGCAGCGCTGGCCTCATTTCCTTCCGCTCGTTCCGAATCGTGCTCCCGCTGCAGCGCTGGCCTCATTTCCGCGCTTCCGCTCGTTTCGACTCGTGCTCCCGCTGCAGCGGTGGCGTCATTTCCCGTGCCATGCCACGACATGCAATGCAATGCTAAGTTGATACTACGCTTTGTGGTGCTCTTCTACGCCATACCATGCCGTGCTCTACAATGCATCGCGTACCCTTTCGGGATCATTGCCCTGCTCGACATCCGACTGAGCGAGTAGAGAGGGGATCTGCGCCATGGTGAGGGATGGGAGGGAGGGGTAGGATGTCAGATATGACGCGAGCGCACCTAATTTGCCCTTCTCCCCCTCCCCCTCCTCCTCAATTACGGGCAGCCCCCGGCAACAACATCCTGGCCCGACGTGGCCAGGACACGCCCAGCCGTGCCGACGAGGGCCCCCCCCCCTCTGGAGAGCAGTAACAAGCACGCGAGGAGGCCGCCGAAGCAGCCCGGCTCCCGGACCTGTCCTGCAGCGTCCCGATCGCGATCTCGGAGCGGACTTCGCCCCAGGGAGCCGACGCTTCCCCCCAAAACATTGGAGCGATGGGATCTTGGCTCTTTTCGGCCTCCGGGGGGCCCTCGCCGGGACGAAACAACAGCCCCAGGGACGAAACAACCCGCGGGAAGAAACAACGGCCCCAGGGAGGTGGCCCAGACCTCTGGGGCCCGCGCACCAACAAAACGTGTAGCGGCCAGATGTCTGTCCCAGAGCGTCCTGATCACGATCTCGGAGCGGATTCCGCCGCGGGCAGGGGCTCAGGAGGGCACAAAGCGAACAAAAACTCCACAGGGAAGCCTCCCTCCTGCCCCCTCCCCGCCTCTCTTCCCCCCTCCCCATCCCATCCCATCCCACCCCACCCCACCAACCCACCTCGAGTTCCGAGCGTTCCACGTCCCCGGTCGTACAAACGGGCCGCTGCAAGAAGGAACGCTAAAGAAGGAACGAAGCCCCTTCTTGGCCCTGTAATTAAGCACCTCCGTGCCCCGGGAGGGCAAGAGGAACAGAACAGCACTGGAGGAGCCTAAGGAACAAAAAACATCGAGCCCCTTCCGAGCCCAAACTGTTCCTTGTTTCAGCGTCCTGACTGTGTTCTTCCCGGTGAGACGCTCGGGCCGAGCGCTCGAAGCAGAGCTTCCGCGGCAGCCGTCGACGCTCCCCTGCTCCACGGCCAGCCGCGCCACGGCGCCCGCGGAGCTCCGCCGCGTGCTCCAGGAGCGGGGCCAGGGCCCAGGGCGACCCCTCCCCCAGCCCTTTGCTTCATTGAAGGGGCCCTGGGACACACAAATAAATACACACATATTTCCCCATAGGTTCTGGGTTTTGGTCTTCCCCCCCACTTCCCACATGTTCCAAGACTTTCTATGGAATCGACGATACTTGTGTCTGTGTTTTTTCCCCTCCTGACTTTTCTTCATGGGATGCAGGGTGCAGCCGAGGCGAATGTGACATCGGGTGGGGATGAATCGCGAGTCCCTGCGATCCGGCGGCGCTGGAGGCTGCCTCGGGCGCCGCGGCCTTCTCGGAGCGATCTGGAACGCTCTGGAATGGATTCGTTCTCGTCCTGCGGTCGGCCCTGATTGGACAGGACACGCGAGAGGACACAAGACCCTTCCGAGGGCCACATTGCCACAGGAATGTAGGAAGCATGGGTCGCGAGACACAGGACACAAGGGCACCCTTGATTTGGCAGGGTCGAATAATCTGGGCCGACTGCAGCCGCGTCCGAAGGCTGCCCAGGCGGCCTCAAGGAGCGCTCCCTCGCGAGGACCGCAAGGCCCGAAAGGGCGCTGCAGCGCCGGGGGGCACCTCGGGCAGGGCCGCCCACTGCGAGGGCACGACCAAAAACACACCGCACCCACAGCGAAATCGCAGACCGACCGACGCCGGCAGGCCGCAGGCAGCCCGGAAGGGGCGCGGCGGCGCGGCAACGACACGACGACCGCCAGAGCGACCCGACCGAGCGCCGGAAGCGGCGACGCAGCCGAAACGACCATACCGCGAACACCAGTGAGAGGGCCCGAGGGGCACGAAGAAAAACGGCCGGGACCCGAGGGGCGATCCTGGCGGCCTCCGAAGCTCCGGGCGCCCGAGCCCACGCGGGAGGCCGCGCCGCGCCGCTCCTGGGCGACGCGGTCGAAGAGCTGCAGGAGGTCGTCGGCGCTGGTGTGAATGTCTATCCTGGTCGTCGGGCCGCTGCGGCACTCTCGCCTTCCTCCTCCTCCTCCTCCTCCTCCTCCTCCTCCTCCTCCCCCTCCTCCTCCTCCTCCTCCGCCTCCTCCTCCTCCGCCTCCTCCTTCTCCTCATGATAGCCATCAACATCACCATCGGCATCAACAACAACATCATGATCATCACCACCACCACCATCATCATCATCATCATCAGCAGCATCATCATCACAAACACAACTACCACCAACACAATCATTATCATCATCAGCATCATCAGCATCATCATCAGCATCATCGTCGTCATCGTTATCATCATCACTAACACCACCATCATCATCACCACAACCACCACTACCGCCAACACCATCATTATCAGCATCAGTATAATCAGCAGCATCATCATCATCATCATCATCATCATAATCATCATCATCATCATCATCACCATCACCATCATCATCATCATCACCATCACCATCATCATCATCATCATCATCATCATCATCATCATCATCATCATCATCATCATCATCATTATCATCATCAACATCGTCATCGTCAGCATCAGCGTCATCGTTATCGTCATCACCATCGCATTGATCAACACCATCACCTGCATCATCACCATCGTCATCGTCATCGTCATCGTCACCATCATCACCATCATCACCATCATCACCACCCACCACCAGCACCATCAACCTTATCACCACCAACACCACCACCATCACCACCACCATCATCATCATCAGCATCATCAATATCATCAGCATCAGCATCATCATGAGTATAAACAGCATCACCAGCGTCTGTATCAGCGTCGTCATCATCGACAGCATCAGCACCAGCATCGGCATCATCATATAAACATAAGCATCATCATCAGCCAGATCATCATCGTCAGCATCATCATCGTCGCCATCGTCATCTTTATCGTCCTCGTCATCGTCATCCACCATCATCATCAATTACATTACCATCACCATCATCATCATCATCGTCGTCATCGTCGTCGTCATCGTCGTCCACCGTCCATCATCATCCATAAGCATCAGCATCAGCATCAGCATCAGCATCAGCATCAGCATCATCATCATCATCATCATCATCATCATCATCATCATCATCATCATCATCATCACCATCATCCAGTACCCACCTCCTCCTCGACTCCTCGACTCCTCGGCTCCTCCTCCTCCTCCTCCTCCTCCTCCTCCACCTCCACCTCCACCCCCTCACGCGCCTCCGAGGACGACCGAACCGAACACCTCCCCCTCTCCAGCCTCTCGAGCCACACACCGAAAAAAACGGCGAGGGGTCGAGATGCGCAGAGCGCCCTCTGGTCGGGCTTCTGACAGCAGCAGGCCGCGGGGACATCCCCAGCGCCGATCGGAGTCCTCACGGGGTTGGGCGCGTCTGTTGTTTCCAGGAATATCGCAACCATGTGCGTTGACCTTTTTTTCATTCTCTTCAGATGGCAGATCTGCTTCGCGAGCGACTTCCTATCTGGCGCTTCGACACTAGGTGAGGGGGGGGGTCTGGCTGCGGGCCTCTGCTCAGTGCGACTGTTTGAAGCTGTGCCTGCTTAGTGCTCCAGACCTCTGCATAATTCTCTAGATCTCTGCGGAATGCGACTGCTGATCGGGGACTCCTACGGGGGGGCCTTGTTGTCGAAAACAGGGGGGAAACTGATCGGGGAGTCCTAGTGTGGGAGCCCGCACGGGGAATCCCATGGAAAATCCGATGGGGAATATGAACATTCCAGGGGCCGCCCACAACGACGTTTGACACGCGCTTGCCTTTAGAACAGAAAACAAAACGACGCCAAACGTTTAAAACTAACGTTTGGAACGGAACTGGCGCAAACGAGCCACAAAAAAACGAGGCCGCCATCCAGGGAGAAACACGACGAAAAAACGAAGCGCCTTTCGAAGCCCACGTTGGGTATCCCCCCCAAAAAAAACATGCTTTCAGCTACCGATGGGAAATGGTGCCCAGACACACGGTGCCAAAACACGTTCCAAATACCGTCCCGACACGCGTCTGGAGCCGAGCCTGACCCTGACGCCAAGACTGACCCGGGTGGCCAAGAGAACCGTGAGAGAGAGCAGGCGCGCGAGCAATCAGGCTGTGACCTCTAGAGGAAACAAACCAAACAAAAACTGCATAAACAGAAATGTTCGGAGGTCCGCGCGGATTTCTTGGATCTGCGATGGGCCCCCTCCCTGGCGCGCGGAGCGCACCAGTGGCGGCGCCGGGGTCGCCACCAAGTGGAGCCCAGCGCATATCTGAGACATCCGCGCGGAGCGCCGACAACTGACGTCTATGCAATGGTGTCTTCTTCGACCAGGGCGGGCCCCAGGCGACCTCCGCAGCTTGCTCAGCAACACGGGGTGGGCCTCGAGCGCGGCGCAGTACTCGTCGCGGCACAGGTACCCCCTTTGGTGGGGTATGGGCCGTGGAGAGGGCAGTCGGGCCCAGGCGGAGGGGGGGGTGGCGGCGGCGGCCCTCCTCCTCCTCCTCCTCCTCCTCCTCCTCCTCCTCCTCCTCCTCCTCCTCCTGCTCCTGCTCCTGCTCCTCCTCCTCCTCGTGCTCCTCCTTCCTCCTTCCTCCTTCCTCCTTCCTCCTCCTCGTCCTCCTCCTCCTTCTCCCTCCCTCCTCCTCCCTCCTCCCTCCTTCCTCCTGCGCTTTCCTGCTCTGCTGACCACGACGGGGTGCCCCTTCTGGAGCTCACTTCGGGCCCCTCCTACAGGCACCTCGAGGCCTAACTACTGGTTTTCCTGGAGTCCCCCGCAGCCTGAGCATGAAAGCTCCTGTTACTAGTGCGATGCCTCCGCCTACCTTCCTCCTCTCTCCTCTCCCTCAGATCTCGAATGCCAAGGAACATGCACACTCCTGCTCGCTCACGCTCAGACTATCTCACGATCAGACTCACTCACACTCAGACTCACAGACACTATGGCCCACTCATGCTCAGACCACCCACGCCCAGTACCACACACAGACCTCACACTCACTCATACTCAAACTCACTCACGCTCAGATCCACTGATACTCAGACTCGCTCATGCTCTGACTCACTCGTTCAGAGACCACTCTTTCGTACATCCCATCATCCGCCAGCGTGCCCTTGGGCACGGGGTGGGCGTGTCCTCAGGTCCTTTGACGAATCCTTTAAGTCTCAGCCCACACTCCTGAGGAGTCTGTAAGGGGCCTGGAGCCCAAATTGCGAATTCTCCTGGGGCTTTCCGCGTGCACCCTGGGCGCCGTCGCGGCTTGTCGCGTGATTTTTCTCGGACCCAAGTGGGCCTCCGGCCGGACGGGCCACGAGGGCCCCCCGAGGCCCTCCAGACGGTCCGAGAGATCCCCAAGACGCCGCAAGATCGACCCAAGACACTCAGGATGGCCCCCGAATGGAGGCCTCCACGGGGCTTCCGAAGAGGGACCCAGAGGGCAAGTATCATGTATTTTCCTTGGGTGTTTGAAGGAGTTTGACGTTCTCGTCTTTTTCAGCGTCCCGACGCCCCAAGACGGCCCAAGAGGCCCCCAAGACCGCCCCAAGAGAGCCGAAGAGGCCCGCAGTAGGATCCCCCAAGACGGCCTAAGAGTGAGAGCGCTCCAAGAGGCGCCCGAGACACCCCAAGAAGGCCCTGAGCCAGCCCAAGAAGGCGCCCGAGCACAGCATGATCATTCACACCCAGACTCACGCATACTTAGACTCTTACCCATTTCAACCCACTCCCAGTCACCCGTACTCATCGCAGAATAACAAGCATGGCCCATGGCAGTTGGGCCCAACTGACACCCGACTGCGATCCGTTCATGCCCAGAGTGTGGGGGGATGACTCAAACGGTTCGCCTGCTTCGGCGCCTCGGGCCCCTCCCTTCTTGAGAGCCCAGTGCTCACGGTGGTATAGCATGCACAGCATCTGGGTACCCCTAAAGGGGAGCAGCCAAGGGGCTTATTGACTACCTACCAGACCACCCCAACCCAACCCGAAGACCCGAATTTTGGGTTGAGGGGGTAAGGGTTCCACACGTGTTTTTTATATGTTTCCCGACCCCCCCCCACTGGAAATCGAGGGTAAATCTGAGCCTTCAGCTTGGGTTGAGGTGGTTTGGTGGGTCGTGTCCGTCCTTCAACGTATTGTGGGGTGTCATGTCTGGAGCGGTTCGCCTGCTTCGGCGCCTCGGGCTGCTCTTGCTTGAGAGCCACGTGACCGCCGCGATGTAGTAAGCATGGCATGTGGGCACCCTCAAGGAAGGGTCTATCGCGGGCCCCTTCGCGCCCAGATTGGGGAACGTCTGAAGGTGTTGGCTTGCTGCGGCGCCTCGGCCAGACTGTGGGGCTGTCTCGAACGAAGCGCTTGGCGCGGCACACCGAACTCCTAGTTCTGCCAGCACGCCACGTGGGCGCTCAAAGCCGCCAAGTGGTGTTGGATTTGCCCGTTCGCACTTGGATTCCGGGGATGCCTTCAGCGTTTCGCTGGATTCGACAACCCGGACTCCTCTCCGTTCGGAGCCCACTGACATCCGCGATGCACTAGGCATAATACTTCTGCACCACACGGGGGAGCCGCCAAGAGGCGTTACACGTGGCTTGTCGCGCATAGATCTGTGAACTCTCAGGCGGAACGCTGCTTTAGGTACCCCCCAGAGGGTGTGGGCTCAGGGGGGATGCATCGACCCCCAATCGCCCATTGATCGCCGACAGGGTCCTGATCGCCCACCCCACCCAGGAGCATGCGGACTCGCTATCAGGGGCCCATCGGCGATCCATTGGCGATTTATCGCCGATTCCAACTCGATTTGTTTCCCCAGAGCTGGTCCCCCATAACGTTCCCCCTTCAGTGGGCCGAAGACGATGCCGACGGCGATACCCCTCTCCGTCCAGAGTCCCGAGATCATCCCGACGTAGAAGACATACCATGTCTTCGCTCCAAGGGGGGAAGTGCCAGGGAGCGCTCGGTCGCCGCAGGCTAAGCTTCCGCAATGCAGACACTCGCAGATGGGAGTGCCAGGAGCAGCGATGCTGTGTAGGAGCCCCCGCGTCGAATATCTGATGAATGAGTGTGGCCCCTGAGGTGCAATCGTGTGGCCGGCCTGGAGGCTATCTTGTGCATCTTGCCAGGTCTCTGGCAAGCAATAGAAAGGCCCCCCCATCCTTTGGGAGCGGACCCGTGTGTAAAGGCCCAAGCCGATGTATAAAACCAAGCCGCCCAGGGCCATTGTCTCTAATGCGAGCACGGGGGCCTAAGTTAGTCCACGTCTTCATTGGGTAAGTACCAGACTTAGGGTTTATTGTTATGCTCGATGATGGCAATGGCATCTTGCCGATCGCGCCGACCCACACGGCCTGAGAGGGCACCGTCATCTTATGTTCCTTTCGTCTCTCCTCTTTCGCTTCGTGTCTGTCTTAGCTTCCAGTGCGGCCCACCGCTCGCTTCGACCAGCGCCTGACCGCCCCGTGCACCTTGACGCACGCGGATTTCAAAAGTGTATCTTGCCAGGTCAAGTATCATCTCGTCGTGTCTTGTTGAAAGGGCCCTGGGACACACAAATAAATACACACAAATAACAGGATTCCCCATATTTCCCCCCACACTTCCCATGTTTCACATATTTTCCTGGGCATCGACGATGAATTGTGTCTGTGTGTGTTTTTCCCCTCCTGACTTGTGTTGTGTGACACTGTCTTGTCTTCTCTGCTCGTCTTGGATCGCGTCGAGGCCGTTCCGGGGACTGGAGAGACCCACCCGCCTCGTCAGGGGAACTTCCTCACGCACCCTGCCCCAAAACGACTCCAACAACACCCACGAGGCCCCAAGACCCGCCACAACAGCCATGAGATGCCCAAAGAAACGGGAACCAAGATGGCCCCACGGGAACTGAAGAGGACCCGATCAAGGCCCTGAAAGACGCAACGGAGGCCTCCGAGACAGGCCAAGATGTTCGGTCACACACGTGTCCAGGCCACACCCCAGGACACTCGCTGATCGAGTCACGCTCCGTTCCAAGGAGGAATGGAGCCCGCCTTGCACTGCCCGGGAATGCACATGCTATGTGTCCCAAACCTCCCTTGGTTAGGTCATCGTTGTTTGGAGAAAGTACTGTTCGAGCGTCTCCTTCCCGCCCCCTTTCTCCCCCACGTCTTGTCCTCCTCGCGCGTCAATTCCCCCCTGAAAGGCCCGCCGTGACTCCCGCCTTGCGGGCTCGCTCACCGCCGCTTCCCGTCATCGACACCTTCAATCTGAAGTAGTCACTCGCGGCTACTGCTCTCACCGCCCCTCGCCTCCATTTTGCTCCTACTGCCGGTAGTTGTCCTCCCTCTCGAACCTCCTGCCCCTCCTCGTCTCCTCTCTGTCCCCTCCGCCTCCACGTCGAGGACTCCAGAGTGACCGAATATACCCCAAGACGCGCCCAAGAAATCCCAAAAATTTGCTCCGAGAGAGGGACCAGATAGCCGGAAGATTGAAACAAAAGTTGCTGATCCTTACATGCTGTCTCGTTTCGCGGGCACTTCGGTCGAGTATGACCTCCGGCCTACACACGAGGGCACATGGAGGGCCTGGCGTGGTCAAAGCACTTCCATGTGGAGGCCCATGAGGACCTCGGACAAAAACCACCAAGGCTCGAGAGAGCATCTGTCGGGGCCCCGAATAGCCCATGACGTCGCCCAGACGGGCCAATGATACCTTCAAGGAGTCCCAGAGGCAACAAGGACAACGCAGAATACCCTACTAAATTCAAAGACCGAGCCCCAGGAATCCCCCAGAGAAGCCCGAGACGACAAGAGAAGTTGAAAAGTCAGCTCATGATTGCTATTGTCTTCATAATCGCAGGGGCTTCGACCCAACCCGAGGTGACCTCCAGAGTTCTCGCGGAGCCTCTGGCACTGGAGCGGTCCTACAACTTCCTGAGATGGCCCAGGAGGACCCCACGAACATCATAACAAGTGCAATCATATCCACCACGGCGGCGACACAGATCCGCCAAGCCCCGATTCCTCGGGGGATTTCGCATGTTAGATAAATGCGGGTACCCCTCCTCCACTTCGCCGCCTCCGCCCCCCATTTGCCACCAGACAATAGTGTCGACCCTATGAAAAAAAAGCCTCCAAAACTCTGGGCCCAGTCCAGCCGCTACTTCAACCTGTCGCTTCCATCAAAATGCCGTCCCTATTCTGAGGGGTCGGCGGAATGGCGGAAGCCTCTTGAACCTGATCGGACAAAGAACGGGAAGCGCAGATCTCGTTGATTAGGTTCGTAAGGGTTGTGGCGACGAGAAGACAGCGTGGATGACGGGGAGGGCAGCGATGCAAGCGGGAGGACGCCAGCCGCGCCAAACCTGCGCGTCGGGAGCGAGATGAATGGCAGGGCTCGCGCAGCGGAAGAAATGACGGACTTCGTGGGCTGTGGGGGGCCCCTGGGGTTTTTGGA